AATAGACTCTTTAAAAAATAGTGATGCACAAGGGAGAGAAGCACTTGGTAGGACTGTTACAATGTTCACAGACTACATTGATTCAAAGGCAAAACCATTGTTTAAGAAATCTATAAAGGTAAAATACTCAACATTTCTCGACAGTGAAATGACCGAGCGAAAAATGTGGTTTAATATTGAATGTGAAAATAAACGGAAGCGATATAGAGAGGCCCTTGAAAGGTACAATTGTGACAGAAATACAGATAATTTCGAAAATTTTCAACGCCTTAAAAAAGACTACAAATATTTCGTACGAAAAACAAAAGCGTTATATAATATAGACAAAGGGAGACAAATGAATGAAATGCGGCGTAAAAAGCCAAGAGAATTTTGGAAAATGTTTAAGCAGGGCAATAACCCAGTCGATGAGAGTGTTACTTTAGATGACTTTTACGATCATTTTAAATCTCTGGACGCAAAAGTGGATGATAACGACGATGTACAAGAGTTTCTACGCGAATTTGACAATAATTGTGATAACATGGAAGAAGTTACATTCGAGGAATTAGACATGCCAATTACGGAGAATGAATTACGTAAAGTTGTTAACTCGTTAAACAGAAACAAAGCCGCTGGATTAGACAATATGATAAATGAATATTTTAAAGAGTGTATCGACATCCTTTCCGAACCGTTGTTACTTATATTCAACAAAATTCTCGACGCAGGTGAATTCCCGAGTCAATGGTCAGAGGGATTGATAATACCTATTTTGAAAAAACAACCATCTAACATTGCAAACAATTATAGGGGAATCACGCTACTAAGTTGCTTGGGTAAAATATTTACAGGAATAATAAATGAGAGAATGAAAGTCTGGACCAAAAATCATGACAAGCTCTCTGATGCACAGTTTGGGTTCAAGTCGGGTCACAGTACTACTGACGCTGTTTTCGTTTTATTTACTATCATACAGAAGTATACTTCACAAAATAAAAAGGTGTATGCTGCTTTTGTTGACTATCAGAAGTGCTTTGATACTATATATAGAAACGGGCTCTGGTACAAACTAATAAAGGAGGGTTTCGATGGAAAATTGCTTAAATTGTTACGGTCCATGTATAGTGACGTACGATCTTGTGTTAAACACCTAAATTCCCTATCAGACTTCTTTAAAATTGATAATGGACTATTCCAAGGGGAGCTAACTTCACCGTTACTATTTGCCATTTCGTGAATACCCTTGAAGTATGCCTACAGGAACATGCAGATTATAGATTAACTTTAGACCAGTTATCTATATACTTAATCCTTTTCGCAGACGACAATTTTTGTTTAGTCCATACTTTCATTCTCTCATTTGACGACAGCGTATTGCTTAGCGAAACCCCTGAAGCTCTTCAAACCAATCTTTATCAATAAGAGGCGTATTGTAAAAAAGGCACCTAACTGTTAACGTTTAAGAGACTAAAATTAGGTATTCCGAAAGGGTGGTCAATTACCAAGAAATCGGGGTTGGACAAATAACGACCAGACCATAGACATTCTTAAAAAATTTAATTACCTAGGCTTATAATGAGCAGTGGTGGTTCATTTCGAAAAGGCATAGAAACATTAGCAGATAAAGCTCTTAAATTGATGTTTTGTCTCGAGGGATGCAAAAACCACTAAATATAACCTTTTTAATGCTTATTTTACATCTATAATGTCATATTGTTCTGAACTGTGAGAATTCAGCCAAGCAAAAAGACTAGAGCAACTTCATAGAAAATAACTTAAATGGACATCGTATGTAAAAATGAGTACGAACAGTATGGCACGTTATGGTGAAACGGGACGGTTTCCGTTAATCTTAAACAGAAAAGTAACAATAATGATATATTAAATTCACATGATAAGAATTGTATTTTATATTCTGTTTATAATTTTCTATTTAAGACAAATGATTTACATACAATTGGTTATGAAAAGTCAAGACTATGTTGCAAAAGACGGGGTTTAATGATGTCTGGTGTTTTCCTGCATCTGTTGTTAACATAGAGTGCTTTATAACTCAGTTTAAGCTTAGGCTTAAAGACATTTATATAGGCAGTGGAGAGAGGCAGTTAACATTTCAACGGCATTGACTCTATATAAAGAAATTAAACAAACATTTGGAATGTCTGAATACTTGACAATACTTAATAATAACAAATTCAGAAATGTCTTGGCTAAATTTAGACTTTCTTCGCACTGTTTAGCCATAGAGCAGGGTCGCCATAGAAACCAGTTAAGAAGTGAACGAAAGTGTGTTATATGTACCAAAGACGATATTGAAGACGAATTTCATTTTGTCTGTATATGTGAGAAGTATAAGGACTTGAGAAAATTATATATTCCGTACTATTTCAGAAATCGCCCAAACATGTTTAAGTTTATTGAACTGTAAGACTGTAATAATCTCAAAATATTGTGTAGACTGTCAATATTTATTTCAAAAGCTCTGAAAGTAAGAAACAATCACATTAATCTTGAAGTTTAATTATATCAAATGTTGACATGTGTGTTATATATATTTGCTAATTTGATTTAGTAGATCAGTATGCTTACTGATTACATTGTATATTATCTTCCTTCTATGCAACTGACAACTTGTTTTGCCATTTTCATTTGCATGCGATTGAATGTATTATATTTTCATGATTTGTGATAAGCTGTACATGCTTTTAAGACAAAATAAATATTCTGTTCTGTTCTGTTCTGATAAAGTGTGGCTGTCATAAAAAATGATTTTTGATGCAACTCTAGTCATGCAAAATTCCATATGTATCAATCTCAAACTGTTATAGAAAAAAATCTTAACGCAGTCGCTGCGTAAGATGAATTATAGTATATAAAATAAACCTATATAGGAAAATACATACAGATAGTCAGTATGATTCAGAAAATACCACAGAGCTTGCAGCCCTTTGATTTGTAATTGTAACTGTATTGTGTTACCGTCTGCTGTCATTGTCTATCTAACAATGTACCTCCAATTCTTTTTTACCTGTATATTTGTGTCAGTTAGCCACTGTGAACGAGTTGTCTGATTCTTTAAACTACAATTCATGAACAGCATCAACGATAACTCACTAAGCTCCATCCGCTGTGTATTAGACTGATTTTATTACAATCTGTATTGTCTATTGTCATGGTCTATCTAACAATGTATCTGGGGTGTATGCATTAGACTGATGAAACTACGATAAGTATGTGAATGTCGAATTGTATTGTAAGTGTATTGTTTTGTATTGCATTGTGATATTATTTATTGTCAATGTCTATCTAACAGTGTACCTCTACTATCTTTAACCTGTATCTCTTTGTGTCAGTATGACACTGTTAACGTGTGTGTCTGATTATTTAAACTACAATTCATCAGCATGTTTAAGGATGGTTTGATTCCGAGTGTTGTGTATTTATTGTATTACTTATTAATGTAAACGCTTTCGTTTAATAAAACTATGTTTATGCCTTTTTCGTGTTTACATATACAGTTGGAAAGGAGTTCGATGCATATATTAATTATATAGGGAGAATGTTGACATCCTTGACGTACACCTCTATCTATTTTAAAGAAATCTGACATGTGTCTGTTATTAATAACTTTTTTGGTCATTGTATAAAAGCTTAATCCACTGTATTATTGCTTTGCCAAAATTAAAAAGATTCCAAAACTTGAAAAATTAAGTTATGATTAAAACTGTCAAAGGCTTGTTTCAAAGTCTGTAAACGATAAAAGTGCATCTTTATCCATTTTTCCCATTTGTTCTAATACTTCATTGATCGTCCGTATATTTTTCCAATGCATCTGTCTTTCATGAACCCAGATTGATTTTGACTGATGTTTAGACGTAAACCTTTTTTTTTCATTCTATTTGCAACGCTTTTATAACCAATACTAATTGGACGCCAGTTTTTAAAAGTTTTTGAAGTTCAGTCAAATTTTCAATATCAAAGGAATGATTGATAGAGTACATGTGGTAATATTTTATATCATTTTATATCATTCCAAATAATTTTATAAAATTCTGTTTTAAATCCATCTGATCCAGGACTTTTATAATTATTGATTTTTATAAGAGCTGCTGTAAATTCAATTTCAGTAAGTTTGCTTTCTAGAGATGTTCGTTCTATATCACTTGTTTTTGGTATTGGATCCATAAAAATAAATCTAGTTGTTTTTGGTTCAACATTTTTTCGTTTCTACAAGATACAGGAACAGGTAAATCAAAATTCTAAAAATGAGACATATAAACTTTTTATGCCTTTATGGGCATGCGGCCAGAAAGATAAGGTGTAAGGATAAATAACAGAGTACGTGGGTCGATGATATTTGATAAAATGTGGATATTTAAATCTATGAGTTTGTAATAAAATTACAAGGACTTAACAGGCACTTAAAAGCCATTCATAAATCAAAACTGTCTAACTGCCTTCATGAATCCAAATAACCTTGTAAAGTATTCGCTCGTTTAATAAAGTTATAAACAAGTCGAAAAAAACTAATAACATTTTACATAGAAATGTGTAAAATTTCAAAATACGAACATGACTTCCATAATTTTGTAACGTCACCATGAAATTGAAATTAAAAAATAATCGAAACACTGTTTTTATTATTAGAAAGTTATAATCCGTGCATATATAAATAATGCAAAATAAAAAGGGCATTAACTAAAAAAACTATGAACGGTAAAGTTATTATTATTGCTTGTGAACTGCACTTTTTCTTAATAAGATTTATTTACCATTATAGTTTTAAGTTGATATCTTAAATACGTTTTGAGTAATGCATTTGACAATTATATATTTTTTTTAAATCAAACGGTTAATCCCTAAAGATTTCCGAGAAAAAGAGATATCATTCTTATACACAGCACTCTCCCTTAATGATATTTATTCACCCATGAAGTTTTCATTTTTTATATCTTATGCTTTTCGAGTAACACACCGGTCAAAAAATGCGGGATTGAAAGACGGCAGGTGACTATTACCATTCCCTACATCAAAAATATCATATTGCTACTATTAGACACCTACCTGAGTCCTTATACGGTAATTTGTCGCAATTATTTCTCTTGGATAAGCAAGAACTACGATTATTGAAGACGTTCCTGACCAAAATGCTTCACATGTCACAGAATGAGTACCATTCATATTGTCGGTGACCACACAGGGAGCGGATGCTTGCAATTGTTTGTTCTCTATCGTTGCTCTCAAATGATCTCCTCCAAACATTATTCGTTTACCATATCCATCCTTCATTGTAACAAGAATGGTGATTTCATCACCAATATTGTATGGTTGGTCTTTATATTCTACAAAATTGTTAAATACATGTACAATTTAGATTTTTATTCAACTTTATTCCCAGTTTATTCTTATTTAAAATTTAAAGTCATATTTTAACGTAAAAAGACAGTTTGACTTCAAGTGTACTTTCATATCATAATAATATTTAAATAAATAAATACAGGAAATTTTGAGTTTAAGATAGCTAAATCAGAGTGAAACCAGCTCTTTAACAATGCTACCCTTCATAAACATAACATCTTATCGGATATATATTCCATGTAAATTAAACTGTCCGACAATAATTGCATGACAATTTTGAAATAATCTAATAATTTTCAAGAAGTCTCGTCGTCCATAACAAATCCTTCGAATCATTCTTATTTATCAGTTTAAGAAAACAAGTTTATGCGTCGATTTTAAATGGTTCTAAACCAAACGAAACAGCAACAACAAAGTGATTAAACGAGATTAAATCGCCATTCCGTTTTGGTCGTTATCATTTATATTCAATAAAGGGTAAGTATATATAATACAGAACAAATAGCCCGGATTGTCTTTACTTTTTATATGCCCGAAAAAATTTCGGGCATATTATGTTATACCCCCTGGCGTCCTGTCCGTCCGTACGTTAGCAATTTGGTTTCCGGAGCATAACTTAAGTTCCATTTGGCCCACAGTATTCAAACTTCATAGGATGATTGTCCATATTGAGTAGAAGACCCATATTGATTTTGGGGTCAAAAGGTCAAAGTTCAAGGTCACTATTACTTTAAAACTGAAAAACAGTTTCCTGAGCATAACTTAAGTTTCATTTGGCCCACAATATTCAAACTTCATAGGATGATTGTCCATATTTTGTAGAACACCCCTATTGATTTTGGGGTCAAAATGTCAAAGTTTAAGGTCACTATTACTTTAAAACTGAAAAACAGTTTCCGGAGCATAATTTAAGTTCCATTTGGCCCACAATATTCAAACTTCATAGGAGGATTGCTATTTGAAGGAGGTACTTTATTTCACTTACAAATGCTTCATCCTTACTAAAAAACACTTTCGGGCATATAATGCTCCGCCTAGCGGTGCTCTTGTTGCAAAATGATATCTTAAATTGATGTTTTATTCGAAATATTACTCACCTGTAAAAGACAGAGAGGAATGCTTTATCGATGCCAATAGATTTTCATCCGTGCATGGTTTAATTTTGAGAGCTTCTTCTTCCAGTATAATGTTATAAAACCTTGCATCACGTGGGTTACTCACGTCATAAGAGAAATGCTTTAAACTATAAATAAGAACAATTTCTCATAATGTCATTGAGACAAAAGAACAAATTTGGTATAGCATTTGCTAGTATCTAAAAAATCATAGACGCTACGTCATAATTTGTGCTACCAAAATAAACTTTAGTTGTTGTTTTTTGGGGGTTTTTTGTTGTTGTTTATTTATTTATTTTTATTTTTTTTTTTTTATTTTTTTTTTTGGGGGGGGGGTGTTGGTTTTTGTGTTGTTTTTTATTATTTTTTATTATTATTATTATTATTTTTTGTTTTGTTTTTACACTGACATGTTGTCACTTCCTTTCTGTAATATAGGCACTGTCAGATCTAAATAAATGACCTACCAGCAACGCTCGCTTAAGATATAAGAGTGTGGTTGCTTAAAGGTAAAGCGGCGTAAAATATTGTCACCATTGCATGTATAAATTATAACTTTAAATAACATTGTCACGAACATTACCTCAACTCTGGTTCCCGTGTTACCGCTGATGCCGGAAGTAGTCGAATATGGAAGTTGTATACTGAAGTATCTGTGAACATATATGTCATCAGCAAAGTGGCTAATATTACAATACCGATCACGTATTTCCACTCATTTCTAAAAGTAAAGTAACACTGATATTGACTAGGGTAAACTCATCAAAACAATGGAAAATATTAACTATATAATATACATAAGCAGCGTCCGTGGCTGATTGGTTATTTTCCTGTTTTCGTAATGAAAATGTTATTTATGGGGTTTGTTTATGCCTATTTTGATTATCTTAAATATTTTATTTACTTTTATTATACCTCAATATATCCTTCACTGTAAAACACTCATTATGTGTTCTGATTGAATATCATCCTCCAAGGATATATTCCCCGGGAAATATTTCTTATCTCACCGTAGGGCACATAACTCCATATTGAATTTCAGGAATTTTTAAAGTTTAACCAGACTTTGTTACAATATGTTTTTAAAGTATTTAATATTGTTCTAGTTAATTCCCTTCCACTATTTTTTCTATTTTACTCAATATTATCATGATCGTAGAAAAGACAATTTGCCACAATATTGTTTACATGTGTTCAATAATTTATAAAATGTCTTTTACCAACATTTCTGATGATGATTTAGCTAGACTTGTAGGTATTTCGCCTCGGGTTAATATACCAGTTCTCGGGTTGACAATATCCTCTATCACCCCGACAGCCATGCGTTATTTATATAAAATGCTTTGAATTAAAGTCTTATTCAAAGGGGCGATGTATAATGTTTCAATAGAAAAGAGATTTTCAATTATTTGCTACTAGTGCCTGGACGTCGTCAATAAAAACCCAATCAATTTAAATATATGGAACAGAATTAATGCATTTATTCTATCTTGCTTGATGGCATTGGAACTTGCATTATGCTTGATTCCATCTTGCTTTATGATATCTTAACTTACATTATGCTTGATTCCATCTTGCTTAATAATATCTTAACTTGTATTGTGCTTGATTCCATTTTGCATTATTTCATTCATTATTTCATTCAAAATTGCATACTGACTTATTCTTTCATTGAGTGATAACTATTGAACTTGCATAAGTCAGTTATGGTACGATTTGAAATATTAAAAATCAATCGTCATATACTGTATGTATTAATGCTCTATACAAACTATTTACGATTTAGTTCTTTTTGTATTACCTTTTTTGTAGAAGTAATTCAAAATAGATTATTTTTTATTCCCTACTTTCTTTTGTACACCGAAAATTACACGACGGATTTTGTTAAAGTGTGTTTTTAATGATTTATCGCACGCATGGCGTGATTACTGTGAGCTTTCGCTTATATCGATTATTCAGTGTTAATATTAAGGTAATACACCCCTAATGCACTGTCTCCACTTTGAAGAGTATTCAAATAGGCTAAAATCACTGTAAAGTGTATTATAACTGAGGGGGCGTGGGTTCAAACCCCAGAAGAGGCAATTTTTTTTCTTTCTTTTTTTTCTTTTTAACATTTTTTATTAATCTCTCAGACCCCCTATGGAAAGAAAAAAGTGTTTCATTTTAATTATATAATTATTGTAGGTATTTATTTACTAAATAATGCCAAATTTAATAGCAAATATGATACCAGATATTTTCAAAGTTTAATAAAATAAAAACTAAACGGTAAAAGTATTTTATATTTTGCAAGACCAACCAATATACATTAAAGAAAATTTAGGCAAACTTTGAAAATAGCCCCTCATTTTGGAAAATTTTAGGGATATTTTAAATAAGGCTTTTTATATAGGGAAATGGTCAAATTAGTGTTAAAAGTGGGTGGGGTAGGGTTACATTTTTATACATATTAAAAACATTTCGTTTAAAAACAATAATTTTGCTTGTTTAATTTGTTACCTAAATGTCAATATTTATTTCTTAACAATGAGCAAAAGGATTACATTTTTCATAATGATGATATTATAGATTATTTAGAGTTTCCTCATGTCTGAAAAAAATCCCTTCTAATGGCAAAGTTTTAGTTCATAAATATGTCCGTAACTCATTAACCACACGGTAAATTTTGTTTAAATTTTGCATACAGGTGACATTTAAGGCATATAACTGTCCTATGTTGTCAAATTTACAATTCCTTATAGTGCCCATTAGGGGTGTACTACCTTAAATAAAGCTTTATTGATTACGTTTGATCATCTGACATTGTATATTAAATAAATTAAACAATGTCAACGATTGTGAACTGTTAGGGAGCGAGAACTCTATTATCGAGATCAACGGATTTTTTTCTCCGCATTTCGCCTCTCACCATATTTTCTGTACAGAAAATGTGGTGACAGTATTCTTTTTCGAATATATATAAAAATGTACCAAGTACTTAATATATAAATTGCCCAGTATCGATGCGCAGCGTTTATGTATTGCATTTTATTTGTGATCAGTGAATATACGAATATGAAGACTAAGACACTTAAATTCACCAAATATTGATTCAATTATTTGTGGTGAAATAGTGTCGACAATGAAAATCCGAGATTTGTAGCAAATTGAAGGTTTTGACGGAAACGTACAATTTTACATCTAGTTATGTCAATAAAAAGTAAATAATGTTCTTTAAAACGCCGAACATTCTTTACTTCTTATTGATATAACTAGAAACTAAATGAGCCGCGTTACGACAAAACCAACTTAGTGCGTCTGCGATCAGAATGAATCCAGACCAGCCTGCGCATACGCGTAGAGAAACTGATAGCGAACAGCATGGATCCTGATCAGACTGCGCGGATGCGCAGGCTGGTCTGGATCCATGCTGGTCGCAAACCCATTATGTTGATTTTGTCGTGAAGCGGCTCAAATGTAAAATGTAGAATTTTTTTAAATCGTCATTGTTAAATTGATAGATAGGACATGGTGTTCTATTGCTATGACATCATATTCATTCCACATTGTGTAGAATGGTTATAAAAGAAAGTCAAGTCTCCCTCGACTGAAGCGTTTCTTCAATGAAAGGCAAAACAAAATATGAAAAAAAAATCTGTTCTTTATTATTTGCTCAATCTTATTATGTAACGTGCATGAAAAAATACTGAGTCGCGTCGATAAAATGCCCTCAGTGCCTAGATGGTTCAGGGACCCTCATTAAGCGTAGAATACATACATAAATACAAATAAGTCAGTTTTCAGGGACAAGGTTATACGTGTAATTGAAGCCTTGCTCCATACATAGAGATTTATTTTGTAAGATGCTTAAGAAAAGCATAGGCTTTAAGAAAAGTAAAACTATTCAAGATTCAAGTGATAACTTACAAGTAAAATGCGATCATTTACTGATTTTGCAGTACTTATTGCCATAATTCTCCTGCGTTACTAACGCAGTACGGGCTATTTTTGCATATCTTATAATAACAATAATACATTTTAATAATAATATCTTTATTTAAAGAAAGTAACACATGAAGATATACAATCATAGAAAACAAATAACATATCTTACTTTTAAATGTGGCCTTCTCAACAATATATTGAAAAGCAAACACAAAACATCTTAAAACAATAACAACTATTCCATTAAGATTTTAACTTATAACTTTCTTTTTTGGACAAACGCTCCTTTAAGATATTAAATATCATATAGATCTTATAAAATTTTCATTTGCAAATAGTTTAACAAATATACATTCATAATAAGTATTATAACATTAGACATAATGACAGAGTCATGAAGATATTTATTTGATCTGCAAGCTATGTTTTTATACTTATTTCTAAAAGATGTCAGAGAATTAGAAGAACGTATATTATATGGTATTCTATTATAAATCTTTTCACCATCGTACAAAAGGTCTTTTTACCATAATTTGTGCGGTGTTCTATGTCATTTTGACCACGTGTTGGTACTTTACGTGGGTTGTAAGCGCCGTTTGCAATTCGTAAATTAATATCTATGTTCACTTCACAATATTTAACTTTCATATGTATTTTCAAAATTTCCATGAAAATGATCATGAATCTGGAGATGGTTAATAATATAAAGCGACTAGCCAATATTGATTGCTCACTAGTTCAATTATTTATAACCAGTGATTAGAAATACAATAAATCAATTGACACGACGCATTTCTGTGTTGATCACCAATCGATATCTAGCCATGACGTCAACAACCTTATTCTTCATAAAAGTTATATTTTTATCCGCGTTGTTTCTACTGATGAAATCAGGCTGGGGCATATGTATGTGTATGAGTTATATAAGTGAACGGAGGTTCCGAGTTCGAATCCTGGTCAAATTATAATATACAAATTATCCCAAAACATAATTTACGTCAAAGAACAATGTACACACATGTTTCCTTGGAATCAAGAAATTTTTTTTTCTTATTCTCTAGTCACATCTAAATAAAACTACAAGTTGTGTGCTGTCATTTATATCAACCATTAATCTTGTGGTTAAAGAAATCGTATTGTAAGAGGGCTTGCTTTGTGAAACCTCCTGACAGATCCGTTAACATTTCACGTTATAAACGTTATAAAAATACCGTACCTGTAATTTGATATAACGGGAAGTAAACTAAGATCTTAACCTACTTTACATATTTAACATTAAGATGCAACATTTTATTATTTCTTAAAAATCAATTCAAGAATCTATTAATATTAATTACATAAAAATCAACACTGAGTGCGATTTCAAAGTCTTATTGTACTTAATACTACTTATAATCTTCTATGAATGCTAAATTTAAAATAAAAAAGAAAATAACTTACAGTGCGAGCTTCGCCATCACGCAATGTAAATGTATCCTATATCCTATCACTGTATGTTTGCGTTAATACACGGTGTCAACTGTTCACTCTGTATACTTCATGATATTGCTCTATCTCTCCCTTGAAGTACATGCCATAAAGTTTGAATGATTATTTGCATTAGAATATATCAACGCATAATAAAATGTTTCAAATCAGTAAATTATAAGACACACATTTTGATTGTTAATTCATTAACCATTGTTAAAAAGCAAATTGTCCGCAGAGTGTCTCAAATATATTCTTGTCGACATTTTTTCGTTAAATTAAAAAATGTCTTATTCTGCTATATACAACTTTGGAAAGACAACTAACTAGAATTTTTATATTATTATTATAGTATAAAAAATGAACAGACAGAAGATGCATCCTGCATGATAAATACTATGCATTCTGATTCTGTTAACCGCTTTTATCGTTGAAGTTACATGAAAAAGGCCAAACAAACATAACTGTCAAATATAGGACAATTATATTGGGCGCTACAGTGTCCAATATAGGAATAAAAATAGTCCGGTTAGCTTAATAGGTAGAGCGTTGAACTGTGCATCGATCGTATGGAGGGCGTTCGTTGCCAAAATTCCAGACATGTAAAGTGTTCCTTTCTAAAATTACTTTTGAAAATGCGAACTTGTATGCCTACCATTTTTTATTGTACCCGTGCATAGCACATAATATGTCTCTTAATTCAATGTTTTAATTGAAGGTTCCCGCCTTTATATAACAAGTTTACATATTGATCGTAACAACTGACCTAACATCTAAAACGACAACAAATTTATAAGTTCGTATCTTCCATTGCATGCAATACATATGCATGTTTGCACACTTATAGATCTGAAATATACAAATGAAATGTAAATCTTAAATACAGAAAATAGAGTTTAAGAAAACGTGTTACCAGTTGTAGAACTACAACAGTACGTTAACACAGTAACATGTTTAAAATGACAAAAGTAGATTCACAAAGTTAAACGATTTTAAGTCAAGCATAACGCCCCGCCCCTCTCTGAGTATTTACGAACTTCTATTGCGGACAGGTATAAAACGGCGCCTCTCCCGTATTTCTAAATAAAACTTAAGGACAACATACGGCATTTTTCATAACATACATGTATATTTGTTACATTTGTTACAAAAGTTTTGTCAATAGCAACATCACTTGAAAATTGCTGATTTTACCATTTATGATGAAGAAAACTTATGCATTAACTTATTATTTAACATTGTGTTTTCCTGAGAAACATCGGCGATATGGACATTTTTAGGGGAAACAATGACCAACTTCAAGGGAGTAATTTTATTGATAATCTAAAAACCATCCAATATTTTTATTGGTATCATTGAAAAATATATTGGCACAAATTTCATTTTCAACAAAAACTATGCAAGTATTTGCAAAAATAGGATTTTAAAGCGGCCACCGAGATTTCCTTTTCGAAATCAAGAAAATACTTATCCGTAGCACATATGTACAATCTTTAATAAGGTACTTTCAGTATGAATAAAAACTTTTTGCACTTGTTCATTATCCCTCATGTACAGACTCAATCAAGCCGAGTCTGCAATTCTTATGTAATTTTGTTTTGATTAATGCTTCCGAGGGATCACTTTGTTTCCAGATTTTTATACTTCATAACAGCAGGTGTCAAGTGCCGTGTGGCAGCTGTAAAAATTTGCCCCGTACTTCACTTCAGTGTTGTTATATTTTTCTGGTCGATGCCAGCGCTATTAAGTGTTTAGAATTGAGTACCGCTCAAGCCGGTGCTAGGGGGCGTAAGGGATGTTGCACTTGTTCATTATCCCACATGTACAGTCTCAATCAAACCGAGTCTGCAATTCTTATGTAATTTTGTTGTGATCAATGCTTCCGAGGGATCACTTTATTTCCAGATTTTTAATGTACTTGTTCATTTTCTGTTTTGAATAAAGTATCTTAAGGAAGCGACGTGATTTTCTTGCCGAATATATGAGTGTGGATTCTGCTTAAGCCGGTGCTAGTGGGCGTGGACGGTAACTTGCACTTTCCAGTACCGTCCATGAACAGGCTCAATCAAACCGAGCCTGCAACATTTTCAATATTGTTGTGTTGAACTTTCTTTAGGGATTCTGTTTTTCTCTATTTTAAGAGAGAAAAAATAAACAACGATAAGTTTGAAACAAAATTTTTTAATACGTTTACGTAATTAAATTTCATTTTTAGGCATCACTAGAAAGTTCATGAAGGATTCTTTTACTTGAATCTAAAATTATAAAAATTGACCAAGAAATAAAATAAAGAGTTAGTAGGGGGCGACATGTTTCTCTTGCTGAATTTCAGAGTGTGTGTTTTGTTTTTATACGCCCGTTTGAAAAACGGGACGTATTATGGGAACGCTCCTGGCGGGCGGGCGGGCGGGCTGGCGGGCGGCGTCCAATTTTGTCCGGAGCATATCTCCTACATGTATGGAGGGATTTTAATGAAACTTCATAGAAATGTTCACCACTATGAGGAGCAGTGTCGCGCACATGAACCAGGTCTCTAGGTCAAAGGTCAAGGTCACACTTAGAGGTCATTGAAAAATGCTTGTCCGGAGCAAAACTTCCACATGTATAGAGGGATTTCAATATTACTTGGCACAAATGTTCACCATTGTGAGGCGGAGTGTCGCGTGCAAGATACAGGTCCTTGCGGCCAAGGTCAAGGTCACACATAGAGGTCAAAGTTCAGATAAAAATATGAAGATGTGTATATGGACCATTTAGTCATCATTTATTGAGGGATTGTAACACAAATGGTCATTATCAAGACTATGGCTGTGATACATATAATTTAGGTCAATATATACAAGGTCAAGGTCACTAAAGATGATGAAATATCCAGATTTTGTAAATAGAATTTAATCAAAGGGCAACAACAAAGTTATTACTTTGTTCATAAATCACTTACACAATTACTCCCCTTGATCTACTTTCACTTTCAATTCTAAAAATAGAATTTAATCAAAGGGCATAAAATAATCCTCTTTCTTGGACTTGAGTATGTTCTTAAGAATGTAACATTTATTTACACATGTTTCATTCATTGGTCAAGATTCTTAACTGTGATAACTATGGTGTTCTGTAGACTTGGTATTTGTTCATAAAGATCATACAGTAATTACCTTATCAAATGTAAATACTTTCTCATAGAAATTTAATTATATTTTAATTTTCAAGTAAATATCAGTTCAGCTCATTCAAAGATTAAGAATTGTAATGAAATGTATTTCCCTAGAATAAAATCATAATTTTTTAGTTATTAAATTACAATTACATGTACTTTTTATCTTCCCGACTGATTTGTTTTAAGGTTCATTTAACAACACAGTGCCAAGGATAAAAACTTGCTTGCTAGATAACACTTATCCATAATGCCCCCATCTCCATCTAAAGCTTTCGTAAACGGGCGTATTTTGTGACTATGGCACCCTTGTTTTACTTGGGGACCATGTGCCGTTTTTCATGGAATGGCACTTACGTGTCACATTGAAGGTTCCATGATAATCGCCATATTAACACTTCTGCGGATGTTTCAAAATTCAAAATTGTACCAGTTCATGTTAAATGTTGAATTTTGCTTAAGCCGGTGCTAGGGGGCGTGGACGGTAACTTGCACTTTCCATTACCGTCCATGAACAGGCTCAACTGCAACATTCTCAATTTTGTCGTTTTGAGCGTTCTTTAGGGATTCTTATTTTCTCTATTTTACAGAAAGTAACATGATAAACTTTAAAACGAAAAGTTAATTCATTTTGATTTAATTCATTTTTATTTTTAGGCATTATATAATTATATATCATAAATCGTATGAAGCACACTTTTATTTCAATCCAAAATTATCAAAATTGATTACGAGATAAAAAAAAGTTTGGAGGGAACGCCGTGTTTTTCTTACCAATTCGAAAGTGTCATTTTCAGAGGAAAAATGATAAATTTTGAAACAAACATTTCAATACATCTATTTAATTCATTTTTATTTCTGAGGCACTCATAGAAAGCTTATGGAGTAATCTTTCATTTGATACCAAAAATATTTGACTTTTTATAGAAATAAAAAAAGTTAGAATGGACGCCGTGTTTTCCTTCACTTTATTGAGAAATAGGAGAGAGGCCACGGGTATTATACCTGTCCGTACATTACTGTAATAGAAGATCGTAAATACTCAGAGAGAGGCGGGGCGTCATGCATGAGTTAAAACCGTTTAACTTTGTGAATCTACTTTTGCCATTTTAAACATGTTACTGTGTAAACGTACTGTTGTAGTTCTACGACTGGAAACACGTTTTATTAAATTCTATTTTCTGTATTCGAGTTTTACATTTCATTTGTATTTTTCAGGTACATATAGATATCTACAAGTGTGCAAAAATGCTTATGTGGAAGATACGAACTTGTAAATTTGTTGTTGTTCTCAATGTTAGGTCAGTTGTTAAGATTTACATGTAAACTTGTTATTTAAAAGCGGATGCCTTCAATTTAAAGACGGGATTAAGAGGCATATCAATTGCTGTGCACGAATATAATAAAAATGCTAGACATACCCGTTCGCATTTTCAAAAGGAACACATTACATGTCTGGAATTTTGGCAACGATCGCCCTCCATACGATCGGGCGGCACGAGTTTGATTCCCGGACGGTCCAGTTCACTTTCGCTGGGATTGATCATAAAATCCTTTCGACGGTTATTCAAACTGTACCTCTGTTCTGGCATGAACTGAAGTGTTATCACTTACTAGTTAGCGAAATAGTCTGTCCAGGAACAATGCGATGGCTGAATTGAGCAGTGATGAATTCAATGTGGCTTTCTGCCGTGATCCGGAGTGAAAACTACCAACACCACCAATATAGGAATGTGTTAGTCACGTGTTATAATTTAAAAGCAGCTATTGGATGTTAATAATTGATATAGAATAATTAGCAGTACTGATTGATAACCCGATTTAATCAATTATTCTGCTTCCACAGTGGTCTGTTTATGATGTTAAAATATGATTATGATATAGATCTAAGAATCAATTTAATATTCATTTGCGAATTAGTGTTTTCTATTGAATATAAGTTTGTCAGAAGAGTCATTATATAGAGGATATTTGTTTAGTTCAGTGTAAGATAGGAATATATTTCACTGAGTGAGCACCAAAAGGTATATTTCACGAGTGGCGCAGCCACGAGTGAAATATGAACTTTTGGTGTTCACAAGGTGAAATATATTCCGATCTTACACTAAACTAAACAAATTTTCTTTTTATTATATGCAAATAAACGTTTTAAAAAGACATTAAACCTAATACTGAATGAAAAGCGCGCCAAATAATAATACAACGTGACGTCATTTAAGACGTCACGTCATTAAGTTGGTACCCGGTACTGTGCACGCTGGTATTTCACTGAAACAACGTAATGGGCTTAAATTCAAAACAGTGAAATTATCAAAGTGGTAATTTCACTGTTTCAAACAGTGAAATTACCAGTTTTATATCACTGATATATTTCTATAAACCACCGAAAAGCATGTAATAAATAATGTAAATCATGCATTTGACATAAACATGTGTATTGTGTATGCAACGTAAAAACAATATTGACGTCATCATTAAACACATTAATTAATTTGGATCTTTTGTGTTATGAAATTTATAAAACGTTAATACGGAAAATTAATGAGTACTTTCCCAACAAACAACTAAATATGTACTCAAAGTATTTGTGTTATTGGTAGATCCTTAATTGCTGTTTATGAACTTTTTTTCTGTTTCTTAGTTTATCCTTTGTTTGACAGATGTAAAATTCAATGTATATACAAGGAAGAAATATATAATATATATAAAACTACATATATCACAATGAGACAAAAATCAAATGTATATGACAAGGAATTCGTCCGTCCGCTTATTCATGTCCAGGAAAAATGTTAACTCCTCTGAGTTCTCTTTCTCTCCATAACTAAATAATTCATATACCTATTTCAAGGAATTAGTGCAAAAAAGAATGACAATTGTTAAGGGAAATAAAACCGTTATTTCAATTTTCAAATAATCAGGTGATTTCAAATTTAAGCGTCGAGATGTACTCGGAGTAAACAAATCTTGATGTGGAGCCGAAATGTCAAGTGGTAAACATGTTGTTTACATACAGTTACATTCATTTTGACTGCACGTTCGTTTTAAAATGCTGAAATTTTTAAGTTAAACCAATACAAGAAATTTGCAATATACGTTAGAAAAAAAATCAACATAAATAATTATGTCAATAACTTCCGTCACCACTACTGTGTAGATTTTTCTATAAACGAGATTTTGAAATGTGTGCAAATAACTGTTTTTACATGAATCGCTTGTTTATAGACTTTTAAACAAATACGGATACATACATTCATTAGTGATGATTATTCGTATTTTCTAAACATGTCTTGTCCTCAGTAATTTGTACTTTTGCTTGCAGGCATACAAGCACATATCGGGGCAATGAAAGGACCTGGTAATTACGCGTAATTACATAGCATGCGCGGCGTAATAATCAATATTTTTACTACAGTATTTAAATTAACTAAATATTTACTATACATTAAATAAAAAAAAACTTCAAGGATAACATTCCCCCTCCCTTTTTTCGATTTATTATATTCATACAACCATCCACATTTACGATCCGTTATCAACACATTTGCTATAACTGAATGCGCATTTATTTACCGGGCTGTAAAAGAATGCGAAAAGAACTTCATTTCGCAAACGAAATAGACATTTGATTTACATATTACGCCTCCAGAAGAGCAAAAATATTTCAAGAAAATCAATATTGAGAAAAATGTACTAAAATTTTAATAAAGGTAAAAACATTCAAGATTCAAGTTATATTTTTCATGTGATGTGCGGTTTAAGATATTTTTTTCAGTATTCTATTACCATATTTCTTCTGCGTTACTCACGCAGTAAGAGCTGTCTTTTCATATTTGACGACTTTTTTGTAATTTTCTTGGATTGTAAGTGCCGATTGCAATATGTAAATTACTTTATTTGTTCACCTCACAATATTTTATTTTCATGAAAATTAACATGAATCTAGAGGCGTGCTGCTTTAAAGGGGGACATAACTCTATTGATAATGAGTTGATTGCCGCGAAACTGGGCCTTGGCAAGTGTTTTGACATGCAAAATATAAAAGCAATTACCAAGTCTTTCAAAAGTTATTCTGCAGAATCCAAGAAACCAATAATTTCCACCTAAAATTGTTTAATAACGCGCATATATTAAAAATGAGTTGCTTGTAGGGAAAATAGAACTTGAGCTGAGTTTTTATAAAACATACTTCCATACCAAATATATATATACAACCAAAGGAGTCCTCAAGATATGATGCGGACATTCATTGTTTACGGACGGACAGACGGACGGAAGGGCAACATCATACCATAATATGTCCTGAAGGACTTCGGGCGTATTGAATTTTTCAATGAAATAGGCTTACTTACTGACTTAATACAAGGTTACACAAAAACAAAACCAAACGAATAATGCAAATTAAGAATATACAAACGGGCGCTAGTCATGCATGTAATGACAATTGACAAAGAAAAACAATGTGTGATCTTACAAATTTACAAATGACAGCAAACCCGAGAATTGAACTATTAACTAAATGCGTTATTATACGGCAACTATAGTCTACTTCTATAGTTGATCTTAATATAAATATACATTTGCCTTTATAAGATGGCCGAAAAGGGCCATGCTATGTCTGTATTGACATATTAAATAAAATGTTAAGGTTATAATAGTTTTATGTCTTATTTGCATTCATTATAAGCGGGTTAACTGAAAGGTTCAAAGACTATGGATGCTATTATTATTATTATTATTATTATTATTATTATTATTACCTATCTTAAAGATATTTTAACTTATAATTCACCGTTACAAAACTACATACTTACCTTATAAAATATTGTCTGGAAAAATATTTACCTTAATAACAATGATCATAACGAATGCAACACGTTGTCATAGAAACGTCACCCGGTGCACTCGGTTTATACATAATATTTTATATTGACACAATGAACCATTTAGTGTCTAAACTTTACTTGTCTTACATTTCCAGCAAAATGTCATCAAATTAATACAATAGACAGTTAACAGTAAATACAATGTACTGTCATAACGGCTTTTAAAACTACATGAAGTATAGTGACCTAAAACAACTGCACTGTGGTCAAAAAGCCTAACAACATTCAATCTAAAATTATTACATCGATCAAACGGAGCACTTACAAAGGCATTATCTGAAAAGAAAAATAAAGAAAGCATTGTTACCGCCGTAAACAGTTACCCTCGAGCTAGATATGCCGGATCACGGGTCTTTAGCGCAATCTAAAAAGTTAGCCATCTATGGGATTTACGAGGGGTGTTCAAATATGAATGCATCTAGGTCAATTTTCAGAAGTACTTAAACAGAGCCAAAATGGTTATCCCAATCCTTCAAAATACTCACCACCGTGTCATATAGAAAGTTTTAGTCTTTTAATCCAATTTTTAAATACGTTTTCATAATCTTTTCGAGGTATACTGTTCAGACACTGGAAAACAGCCGAAGCAAGGTGTTTTTTTGTTGTTGTTGTTTTTTGAGCCCCGGAAATTGGAAAAAGTCACAAGGGGCAAGATCATGCGAATAAGGAGGGTTAGGAATATATTATATATTATAAACCGATTCATTTACTTAATGTAAAGGAAGCTATTGTAACCAATCATATATATAGAAGGGAGGTACTCATCGCACGTCAGAAAGTGACATTGGTGATACTACCACTCAATCATAGATCAGCCAAGAAGAAAGGACAATTTAGTATAGATGAATATACATGATATACATGTACATGTGATATACATATACATAGATTTAATATACTGTATAAAAAATATGGCTTACGATAAGTTACAACCCTCGACTTAATAAGGTTTGAATGTTTACAAAATTCTATCACTGCATATAAGTTTCTTAACACTAAATTTCTTTGCATCTCTTGATTATTTTATCTAGATGGTCGGGTGTAAATAATTAACACTTTCATTGTCATTATCGTTCTTAATTTCTTTGGTGCATTTAATTGGGAACGATCCCATGTCGACATAAGAGTTGCATGGGCTTGTGAATGATTTCTGTTCATCAGTTTTCGTCATTGTTGATCTTGTATTTGGCCTTTGGTGATTGACTTTTTCAGTCAAAAGTTGACCAAGAGAAATATTCTGATCTAATACAGATTTTATATCATTATCTAAATTCATATTCACATAATTTCCATTCAATTCGTTTGTGTCTTTGGGCTTCTTAGGAGGTGATATGTCATTGTACTTCTTATCTTTAATTATTTTCCCTATTGTCAGTGTTGTAAACTTGCGTCTTTCGCCAGATAATATTCTTTCTGAGTCAGAATGCGGACGCTTTCTGTCCTTACAGATGTCTGAATCTTGACTCGACTTGTTGAAACCATATTCCAACTGATCAAAACTTATTGCTTTGATTCCAAGGCCTATTCCACAAAAAGTTTCTGTAACAAAAGAGGGGTAATCACAAATGTGATGAGCCGGCTTATCAGTGACATTGAGCCCGTGTAATTGATTGTTTGAAATGTCAGAGATTTCATAATATTTTCCGGACGTATTCAAAATTGATTGGTTTTTATCTTCATCAGAATTATTTGACATGAGAATTGAATTTTCGACAGTCATGATCATATTGTCACGCATCGTCAAATCTATTCCAAGGGCCTTTGAGTGGGTAAGTGCTCCCTCCATGGATGTTTCATTTATTTGTTTTACCGGGACCTCGTAGTTGCACTGTGTACTAGTATCGGATACCTGTGTTATACGTTGAAGAGGAGCAACTTCCGCGTAGAAATGGCTGGCAGCAGTTTCTCGTTGTTCTGATCTTTCTAAAAAGTGTATATATTTTAAAATCAAGCAAAAATGAAAATTATCACAATACAAGATAATTGATGCAATTGAATCTCTTTAAATTTCTTTTATGCATGTTAGAATTAATGTGTTGTTTTTCATATTCTATTGCATTCACTGTTATAAAAATTAATATTACAATCAATCGGCAACAAAATAAAACAAGTGTGAAGACATATTTTTTAAGAAGTTGAATTGTTAATATTATGAAAACAAAACAACTTGAAGGTTTTACCAATATTTTCAGGGATTTCTTCATAGATAGGTAATACATTTTCTCTTGTAGACATATCGAGCTCTGCATAACGACGCCTTTTCAGAACTAGACTGAAATCAGTATATATTCTGTGTTAGACAGACAGTGAATAACGGAATAATATCTATTATCTACATGAATGTGAAACTATAACAATTATCTCATAATTCAATTTATCTCAGAAGCGAATCACCGAGTCCACTAAACAGATACAGTACCTTTTAGCTAGCCATCGCACAAGGAACAATACAAATGTTATCGCAAATCCTATTAGACCACCAGTGAACCCAATAACAAACTGATTGGAACAATTCTGTTCTAAAGCTGAAATAATAATGAATAATATGACACACGTTTTAACAGGTTTAAAAGTTCCTTAATGATTATAATAGAAACCAATGAAGAGCTCTTTTGCGGGAGAGACCCCTAAACGATCTGATGCCCAACTATGCTTTTATTTATTCTATTGAATGGATGGACAAAAGTTAAATGACTAAAAGCTGTATCATCTTAATGGCCACTTAGACCATTACTGTCTTGGTGGCAATTTAATGCACATTCCTTCAAACTGAGACTAAATAAAATACATTTTTATATAAATTTTACAAGCATCTGTAATTAATCTCAATCGTGTAACCGAACTGAACAAAGGTTTTAGAATCCTCCCAAGTCTAATTATATAGGCATACATAAAAAAAAAAACTTCACATTACGATATAACATAATGTTTTTAGAGCGACCATTTATTACTTTTATATCAGATTAAGTGCTAGACGAATAAAGAGTATGATTCATAAAAACTGTGTATATACCGGTACTTTCATCACAAAAGACGCCTCTGTATCCTTGTTTGCACCCCAGTAAACAACTAGCTATCTGACGGTCACAGACATCTTCTTTGCAATGTTCAGGACAACTGAGTTCGCAAATGTCACCATAATATTTAGGAATGCATCCCTCGTTACACAATCCGGAATACTGGTCACAAGAAGTGTTTAAACATGAGCTGCTGCATTTATTTTCACATTTAATTCCGAACCATTCATGACGGCATCCTTTGTCACAATTTCCCGAGTATTGATCACATGACGTATTGGAACAAGTTAAACTGCAAACGTTATTACACGTATTACCATGCTTTCCAAGGATACAGCCATTGTCACAATGTCCCAGTGTTTGTGCACAAGAACTATTTCTACAGTTGATGCTACATGTTTTATTACAAGTGTCACCATACCAACCAGATTTGCAGCCTGTTTTGCAGTATCCGACTTTTTGTGTACAAGAACTATTTATACAATTAATGTTACACCGTTCATTACAGAATTCACCATACCAATCAGAAATACAACCTTTCTGGCAATGCCCATCTTTTGTGGTACATAAATTATCTTTGCATGTGTTACTGCATATTTTCTCACAGTTATTGCCATAGAAACCGGGAGTACAGCCAAACGTACAATTTCCAGATGACTTATCGCACCTTACTTGATTGGTAATAGAATCGGAACAGGTTCTTTTACATTTTTGATTGCAGCCCTGGCCATAATAACCGCTTACACAACTTTGACATTCCCCAGTGTCTCTGTCGCATTTCAAAGTACCGTCAGGGTTTGGTTGACAATGTCCACATGTGTCATCACAACGTTGACCAAAATAACCGTCAACACAACCATTTTCACAAAATCCAGTTAACAAATTACATTTATCAGGATTGGGCATGCAATGTCCACATTTTTTGTCACATTTTGGAGAATAATACCCACTAATGCACCCATGTGTACAGTTGCCAGTGAGAATACTACATTCGATCTCGCTTTTGCTTCCTGTCTTGCAATGACCGCAGCTTTTGTCACAATGGCTTGTTTTGCCGTACGTACCATTTGTACATTTTATGCAGTGGCCAGTCAATTGGGAACAAGCCAGGCAACGGTCTTTGTTAGGACAGTCTTTATTGCACTTTGCTCCGTATTTCCCAACAATACATCCGTCTTTGCATGTACCGTCTTCCAAGCACCAAACGTCTTCTCCCATAGCCAAATGTATATGTTGAAATTGGCCAGAAATGGAACGGTTATATCGCACGCAATTCTGACTACATTTTGTCTGACAAATGATCCCTGACCAACCATATTTGCAGGAGACACATTTATCCGCAGAGGAACATTTAAGGCATTTGGCAGGACATTTGTGACTACATAATGGACCGAAAAAACCTTCTTTACAGTCGGTGCAAGTGTTATTTCCGACACAGGTAGCGCAGTTTGGAATCGGACATCCCCCTGAAACGATCGTAAATTTAATAAAACAACATGAAAAGCAAATATCAACAAGGAGCATATTATCAACATTATTATAAATATACATGTACAATGTTGCACAAGGGCATCCTTACATCAGAAGATTAAAAAAGAGGTGAAGCGCGGTTAAAGCTCGGCTAATGTGTATAAACCTCGTGCCAAAAAAAATGCGAGGCTAACTATGAACGATTTTTTGGACCCGTTATATATAATTTATTGTATGGCAACTCATATACACTCCTATAATTATACATTAAAAGAACAGCAACAACAAAATAGTTTACGAAAATACCACTATCTTGATCTGTTTAAGTGATACCATTGCTTATTAATAATGTTTTATGTAAAAAGGTTATATTACATTACCTTATTGATAAAGATTATGTATTGAATATAAAATAATACGAATTGATTTACCTGAGAACACCAAAACTTGAAACACATACTGTATTATAAAGAGAAAAACTAGCATTTTTTAGGAATATAAATATAAATCAACATATGTGTATATTTCAAAACTCGCATCAATTCGTGACAAAACTCGGCATCATTTCCGTAAGAAAATATGACTTGTAAAATGGAAGGAAGAGGGAAACAAAATTCGTTTAAAGTCCGCAAATAAATAATATTTAAGCATGAATCATTTATTTCTATAATTTTATATATTGATTATGTCATTCTACTTTTGTTTCAATGCAAAAGAAATAAAATAACATTATAAATATACACAGGACTGTGTCTTTCAATATACTAGTCTTTCATCGGCTGCTTTATATTTCTGGTTTTTTTTTCTGGTTGAACTCTAAATTCACTCGG